GGTGGGAATCTGGTGGAGGGGGGAAGAAATGAGGAACCTTTGTAATAATATGAACAATAAAGATTGATTAAAAAAAAAAACTGCAATGGAACTTACTTAGCATCATGTTATTCTGAGTCTTTTGTTTAACAGTTATCCTGCTAAGACTTTAATACTAACAAATGTTGCACTCACCTATCCACTTTGTCTTGACTATCAAGAAGGTCAAAGCTGAATTTCATGCCCACCTGACATAAAACATCCTCAGCTTTGGAATTTGGTATACTATCTCCATCTTTCTATTGCCTTCATTTCAGACTCCTATTTCTTTTCTTCTTTTTATGTTTTTGCTTGTTTGTTTGTTAATCCTCACCAAAGGATATTTTCCCAATGATTTTTTTTTTTCCTTAGAGAGAGTGGAAAAGTGGGGAGAGAGAGAGAAACATCAATGTGAGAGAGACACATCAATTGGTGGCCTCTTGCATGTGCACAAACCCAGGCATATGCCCTTGACCAGGAATCAAACCTATGACCCTTCAGTGCATGGGCCAATGCTCTATTTCCTCAGCACACCAGCCAGGAATGATAATGCTGTGTTTTGTTATTTTTCATTGAAGTCACCTCAGAATTATTTGGCAAATGAGCAAAGGATATAAATAATTTAATAATTTAATTTTCTTCATTATTACTATTTATTTTTTTCCTCAGTGTCCCCTAAAATTCTCCCTTTTCTGTATTCTTGTGCATGCTGTTTACCTCAAATACAATCCCTACTATTTCTAGCATTCAATGATATCTCCCAGGCTCCTGAGGTTAAACGAAGCATTCATTTTGTTCCTAACATACTTTTATAATACTGATTTTTTTTCTCCCATATGCACTGTCTTTTCAAGTTCCTCAAAGTCTATGAGATCCTAATGGAAAGAGAGTACATCTTACATACACTGAGTGGCCAGATTATTATGATCTCTAAACGCATAACAATCTGGATATATATATATTAGAGGCTGGGTGCATGAATTCGTGCATGGGTGACTCCGGCCAGCCTGGCCAGGGGGAGGGGATATGGGCAGTTGGCCGGCCTGCCTGCTGGTCGAACTCCTGGTTGTAAGGACAATTTGCATATTAGCCTTTTATTTTATAGGACTAGAGGCCCATTGCACAATATTCATGCAAGGATAAGCCCCTGGCTTCACTCCCAGCTGCCCAGGAGCTGACATGTCCCCGCTCCTAGGCCTTCCAGGAGCCAGCAAGTCCCCGCTCCTGAGTCACCCAGAGCCAGCAGGGCCTGGCTTCTGTCTGGAGCATCATTCCTACAACGCCCCACTTCCCTTCATAGCAGGTTTCACATGGCTCCAGTCTGCATATGCAAATTAACCTCCATTTTGTTGGGTTAATTTGCATACTCACTCTGATTGGCTGTGGGCATAGCAAAGGTACCGTCAATTAGCATTTCTTTCTTTTATTGGTGTAGATATACACTGAGTGGCCAGATTATTATGTGTTCAGAAATCATAATAATCTGGCCACTCAGTGTATATTTATATTCCCAGTAGCATCAAAACAAGCCTTGTATGTAGCAGATACACAGTAAAGACATGTTCTGTTAATGGGAAGGGTATGTTAGCATTTTTGAAAGCTCACTGGGTAAAACCATGTGGGAAGTAGGCTGAAAAGGAGTTTCTATCTTAAAGCAATTTACAAACCAAAAAACTAAGATAATAAATTGCCTATGTAGCCAACAGGAATGGCATATATGTAAATACATATAAAGTTCCTGGAATGGCTACTTCTGGAAGGATTAATCAGCGTTCACAAAGACTTTTAGTGGAGTTAAAAGGAATAGACTGTGAGGATATGCAGTCACAGTTTAATGACTCCAAAGATGGACAAGGCAATAATATTCAAAGAACAGCAAGTACATTTCCATGGATATAAAGATCGACAAGCATCATTAAATAATGGAGTGAATTTGGGGTCAGCAGACAGAGGGCCTATAGGCAGCAATGCAAAGGTAGGGCCTGTTTTTTTTTTTTTTGTTTTTTTTTAAGGTAATTTAATTAGATAAAATCTTTGGAAATGATGCACTACTGTGTCAACAATTGATAGGAGCAAGAAAGCTAGACTATGAGGCCTGACAATAAGTACTAGTGATACCAGTAAGTACTAGCTTTCTGCACTCATTCTCAGGTGTGTGTGTAGGACAACCCATTTAAGAGCCCATCTGGCACAATGGCCACGAGAGCCCTAAGGGCCACAGCAGTGGCTTTCATCTCACCTTTTTGAATCTTAGAATAAAACAATCTCTCTCTCTCTCTCTCTCTCTCTCTCTCTCTCTCTCTCTCTCTCACACACACACACACACACACACACACACACACACACCACACAGAGCTGTAATTTCAATTGTGTAGCTTATCACAGAGGCAGTATAACAAATTGCCTCAGAGCAACTCCTAGGTTCAAATCTCAGCTCTGACTCTATTAGGTGTGTACTTCCAGGGAACATATTTAACTTTACTTAGCTAGATAAAAACTTCCTCTTAGATAAATATATAAAATGTTTAGCAGAATGAGTAGTTCAGTAAGCTCTCACCCAAATTATTTTTTAAATGGACAATAAGATATGGATTTTGAGACCCCTTGTATTTACTTCACAGTTCTCTGGAAATCCTTGATACCCAAGTTGGGAGTTGCTGTCTTAGAAGTATATTCTATCTGTAAGGATTTATGTGACAGCTACAATGTTCAGCATTGTGTCAGAGCCTACAGAAGCCAACACAAGACCCAACAAGTAAGGGGACAACACAGAAGGTGGATGTTGGAAGGACATGGGATTGTTGCAGAGGTTAAAAGGAGACTGAAACTCAAGCAGGAGTTTAAAGTTAGAAATGCTATGGAGAGCCAAAGAGGTCTGGTCAGGGAGTAGCATGCTGAACATGTGCTTAAGGAAGACTACCCAGTGGTAGCCTTTACAGCAAACTAGAATAGAGGGCACATCTCTCAGAAACAACCAGGAGACTGGGCTCAAATCTCTAAAGAAGGTTCCATTCCTAACCTGCACTGATTCATACTGCTGGTCACTTACACTGAGTGGCCAGATTATTATGATCTCTGAATACATATGTATGTACATATATTATTATGATCTCTGAACGCATATGTATGTGTATGATGAGATTATCAGCATCATCATAATATATATATATATATATATATATGTGTGTGTGTGTGTGTGTGTGTGTGTGTGTGTGTGTGTTCAGGGAGAGAGAGGGAAGGGGCTGTGCATGAATTCGTGCATGGGTAGGGTCCAACCAGTCTGGCCAGGGGGAGGGGACATGGGCGATTGGCCAGCCTGCCTGCTGGTCAAACTCCTGGTCGAGGGACAATTTGCATATTAGCCTTTTGTTATATAGGATATACACTGGTCAAATTATTATGCGTTCAGCGATCATAATAATCTGGCCACGGGAGGGGGAGGAGGGGGTTGTTAAGGTATGTACACATATAATAGCTGGCCATTCAGTGTAAATTGGTTTAAGCAATACCACTGGTTACATTAACAGCTTAACTAATGTCTTTATAATACTTAGAAAAAAAAAATTTACCTAAAACAGTACATGTAGGCTTAGTAAATATTTGAACTTCAAATTCAATCTAAGAAATTGGAAAAAGGGGAACCAACTGCATAAGAGTCCTCAGCGTTGGAAAAGGATAGACAGTAAGTAGGCCAGGCCCTTGCCTGAATTTAAGGGTTCCCATCCTCAACCCCAAATCTTTGATCTACCCACCTCTCTTGCCAGTTTTCAACCACTTGTTTGTAATTACCTTAAACATAGTAAAATGCATGAATAACCAGAAATCAATCAGATATCCAGTAGTTAAAACTTTCTAATCTTTTCTGACTCTCCATCTGGCCAATTTCAATTTCTCTCTAATGATAGAGCTTTGAGTGCAGGAGTTTGAATCCCAACTGGGCACTTCCTAGTTGTGAGATGTCAGGCAAATCAAACTCACATGCTTCGTTTGCCTATCTGTGAAGTGGGGATAACCTGTCAGAAAGTAGTTGTGAAAACTAAATTGTTAATATCAATCAAGTGATTAAAACATAATAAGCACAATATGTATTAGCTGTTATTATCATCTTTATTACAGAGTAATATTGGCTACCACCAGATCCCGAGGAGTACAGCTATCACATTTTTTTTTTTTTCAACAAAAACACACGGGCAAAACTATTTCATTGTCACTGAATCGCACACAGACGCAGTGGTCAGCCCCTACCTGTTGCAACACCTTTAAGAGATGAGGGTCACAAACTGGCCTGCACGTGAGGCTCCAACATGCAGGACTGCTCCTCCTGCCCAGAGCTCATTTCTCTGGAAACAGAAACCTAGTATTTGTGAACAGGAATCTCAGAAGTTCATGAAATTTTAAAAAGTTTTTGTGATATATGCTTTCAAAAAAAAAAAAAAGTATTTCCTGGTCTGTGACCCACAGCACTACTTTGTCGTTTTCTCTTTTCTATCTAGAAATCTGTGAGACTGAACCAAAACATCAAGAAACTTCCTCCCCTGCTAACCAAGCATTAGCAGGTAAGCGGCCCTAGGTGACTCCACATACACATCTTTACAGATAAACGGTCCTTTTTCTCCACCCCCCATCCCCCCCACCCCCGCCCCCGGCACTAGAGTCCGGTCTGCAAAGAACTGAAATCTAACTGCATCCTAGAGGGCTTGTAAAAACGCGGGCTCCCGTCGCCTGTGGACAGGTGAGAGGGTGCCTTGCTCCGCTGTGGGGACCACATCCCGGGCAGGACGCGCGCTCCCAAACCCGGGAAGACCAGAGACACTAACGCAGTGAGAACCCTTCCACAGCCACATCTGTCCGCGACCTCTCGGGCAGCACCCGCCTTCCGAACCGCCCAGGAAACTGTCCCCGGAACGCGGGCAGCCCCGGTCGGCGCGAGGTTCACACGTGCCCGGCAGCAGCAGGCTGGGCCGGCCCCGCCTCGCACTCACCTGGCCAGTGATGCCGGTGATGAGCGCCACCTTCCTGGGCTTGCCCATCTCGCCATCCCCGGAGCCCCTGGCGCTGGGGCAGCGTGCCGGAGCTTGTGCCATATCCCCGCGAGGTGTGCAGCAGAGAGCAGGGCGGAGCGACAGCGAGCGCAGCCGAGGCAGCAGCGCCAGGAGACGTGGGAGTGTAACCCGCGTGCACGTTGCCTCGCCCGGCGGCAGGGAAGAGCGAGCCGCGCGGGCAGCGCCACAATCTGACAGGGAGCTCGGAGGCGGGTGGGAAAGGCAGGGGGCGGGCCCAGCGGCGAGGCGACGCGGCGGCGTGGCTGCAGCCAGGCGGGCGTGGCGTCATCCCGTAAGCCCGCGACGTTCAGCGGCGCCAGCGGCAGGCCCCGCCCCCCGTCAACGGCCTTGCGGGAGGGGCGGGGCACCGGAGGGCGGGGCTTGCCGCTGGGCTCTGAGGCCTCTGGCTGTGGGCGAACCTGCAGCCTCAGGACAGGAAGTGATACTAGTCCGGCTCCTGGCTTGGCCCTGGGCCAGGGAGAGAGTGGGGTTAGCCATCAACATCTCGTCCGTCACTATTTCTCCCTCGGTGCAACCCCCACGTCCTCTCCTTCTCCGTCTGAATCTCCCAGGAATCCTAATGAGAACCCGAGGATGCGGAGAGAAGCTATAGGCAGACCTTTCTGTTAGGAGAAAGCCTGGAGTTCCATATCTGGGTGTCACGGGGCCTTGGGTCAAAGGCTTTAATAATAATTTCTGGAAACTTGCTGCAATGTTTTATTTGATGAGTCTGATTTTGTTTCTTGAAGGTCACTCACTAGCTTTACAAGACTCCTGAATGGGGATCATAGTTGTGGGGAACAACTAACCTCACCTCTAGCCTGGCTTTCTGGCTCTTTTCACATTTCCCAGAGTTCAGAGTACTGATAAGACACGAAGTCTCTGGCCCACACACAATAAGGAAATGTTGAAAATAATAATTCACACAATAAGTAAATATTGAAAAGAATGCGGGATCAATAAACCTGAACGTGGCTAACCTCAAACAAAAGTTCAAATACAAGGTGGTGGCCTAGCTTAACGTCTATTTAATTTGGCTTCTGTGGGCAGCTGTGCATTGAGCCAAGAAAGGAGCAGAGATGACTGGGACACTGTTAAGGACAGGAGGTGTGTGTAACATAAGCAGTTGACTAGAATCCAGGGAGAATACAGAAACTTCCTTATCACTATTAATCTACGTATGGCAAGCAAGATCACCACTTTAAATTGCAAATTAAGTAATTAAGAGAGTCTTCAATCTAACACACAAATCAGACCTCAAATTTCAAAATCAGAAAATCTGAGGAATAAATTAAAAATCTCTTCCCTGCCCTGGCCAGGCAGCTCAGTTGATTACAGCATCCTCAAATGTATCCTCAGGTGAGAACTTTATAAAACAATCTTTATCCCCTAAGTGCCTCAGAAATACTCCTTAGCTTCATAGATAGGCTTGTCTTTGATTTCACACTTTACCTTTCCTCTCTCCATCCTATACAGAGAATAACTGAATAAGTGTTACTTGCAGTAGCACAAGGGACCTCTGAATAGTGAATGAAAAAGCCCTGTTGTAGAGACTGCACCCTTCAATTTAGGGAAAATCACTGTAAGCAAGTAATGTCTTTGAACTCTACTAAATTACCTTAATAACTTATTTTTATTTAATATTAAAATGCTTTGAACTTGCAAATAAGTCATTTAACATTTTTCTAAAAATTGCTGGAAGAAAGTGGATACTCGGAGAGGACATGCCAAGTTTATCCTGTAGCTGTGAGACTTCCTATCACGCTACTGAATACTGCACACTTGCCTGTCCTAGTAAGAAGAATGACGGTTGAAGATCCATAGAAAGAAAATCAATATCATAGGGCTTACAAATAAAATAATTACAAAACATTGAGGTAAATGGTAGTTCGGAATACAGTGGAAGGTTTTGAAAAGGGGGGTATTTCTCTTTAAAGATTCTCTTTAAAAAAAAAAAAAAAAAAAGGTAATAAAAGGACAATATAGGCAGTCCATGGATTATGTCGGACTTGACTTATGTCATTTCATGGTTTCGTCACTATCTCCCATTTATAGTATTTATAAAAAAAAAAAAGTTCTGTCATTTTGATCTATGTACATATGTGCTTTATGTTTTTTATTATTTACTGTATTTACCGCAAGTAAAGGTCAGGAATTGCTAACTTTCTTTTAAATATTTTTTTACTGTTTCACTTTATTACTGCTGTGGATGTGCTCCATGTGAGTGATGTAGGTGCTTATGTAGGTGGGTTTCTGACTTACAGCGAAAATCAAGTTACATCATACCATAGGAATGGATCTCCAACCTGAGGGACTGCCTGTGTTGGTTTTGTTAGGGTTGTCATAAGAAAATACCCAAACATGGTGGTTTAACCTACTAAAGTTTATTTCCTCAGTTCTGAAGACTAAAAGTCCAAGATCAGTATGGTTTCTTCTACAGCCTCCCTTTTTGTCTTACATGTGGCCATCTTTATGTTCACAATAGAGGCCCGTTGCATGAAGATTTGTGCAATAGGCCTTCCTTCCCCAGGCTGCCAGCACCAGTTTTCCTCCGACACCTGGGACTCAGGCCTTTGCTTGGCCACAGCAGAGAAACCAAGCCTTGAGGCTAGGCTTCTCCATTAGGCTTCAGTGGAAAAGCCAAGCCTTTTCAGTCTTCAGTCTTCAGTCTCCAGTCTTTGCTCCGTGCCTGCATATGCAGATTAACCCACCATCTTTGTTGGATTAATTTGCATACTCACTCATGATTGGCTGATGGGCATCATGGAGGTACAGTTAATTTGCATCTTTCTCTTTTATTAGTGTAGATGGCAGTCTCTATATATGTCTATGTCTAATTTCCTCTTCTTATATGGACATCAGTCATACTAAATTAGGTCCCACCAAATCCTCATGTTAACTTAATTACCACTTTAAGAATCCTATTTCCAAATAGTCATATCCTGAGTTATTGAGGTTAGGACTCTGACATGTTAATAGGGAAGAAGAAGGGAAATTCAATGCATAACAGACAGCTGGAGGGAAAGAGAGATTTTTGTTTGTTTGTTTGTTTGTTTGTTTGTATGTATGTTTATGGGGGGAGGTGGGCAGAAAATGGGCTGATTTTTCTGGTGAGATCCTCTCCCTGGTTTGCAAAAAGGCTATCTCAATGCTCCTCACTTGGTGAAGAGATAGACATCTCTCTCCTATCTCCACTTATAAGGGCAATAATCCCATGATGAGGTCTCCTCTTGGATGGTCTAATTACCTCCAGACCACCACCACAAAATACTACCACAATTCAGGTTAGAGCTTCAACATGTGAGTTTGGGAAGGACACAATTCAGTCCACAGCATCAAACATTTAGTATAGTACTTAATATACTGAATAAGTTTTTTCACATCTTTGTTTCCCATTTCTTGAATTGAATAGAGGCTAGTTATTCAAGAATAATGCCTCTGCTTTCCCCTTTGAATCATCTCTTCTCTTCATTTTAATATTTCTTTGCTTTTTTTCTTATAGAACTCTTGCTAATCTTTTACCAAATCTCAGTTTGGAAAACAAATGATAATGGTTAGCATGCATTGAGTGAGCATGTAAGATGAGCCATATCTTATTTAATTCTATGAGATAAGTATGATAAGAATCCTTGTTTTGTAGAAATTGAGAATCAAAAAGGTTAGTAAACTTTTCCAAGGTCACATTGCTAGTGACTGGATATGGTAGATACCTGTTCCATATTCTATTTGAGAAAGCTGAAGTGTTAAAACCCACATTTCCCAGATCATTTTGCATCTAGCATTTTGGAAGCAAATTTAGTTCTGGCAGTCAGACATGTTTCCCTTAATCTGATGGTGGAAGTGAATGGATGAAATCTTTTCACTTCTTTTCACACTGACCTGAGAGTTTCTGGCAACTAGACTCCAAGTTTGGGTCTAGTCACAAGTTTCATGAGTACACAACCATTAGGGATGGTGGCATCATCAGTTTTCTAAATTATAGCATAGAATTATATGGCTGGCTTAGAGGTATGTTTTTTACATCAATAGACCAGGCTTCTGCTCCTCCTCTTCTTAACAAAGATTTTTTTTTAACTGAAATTTTTATTAAGATTATTGTAGATTGTAAGAAATAACACAATGATATCCTGAGACCCTTTAACCCAATTTCCCCCATGGTCACATCCACAAAAACTATAGGGCAATATAACAAGCAGGATATTGACATTGATACAATACACCAATCATATTCGGATTTCCCATTTTACTTGTACTCATCTGCGCCTGCATGAGTAAGTTCAGTTTATACTGTTTTGTCATATATGTAGGTTTATTCATCTACCAAAGTCAAAATACCAAATAGTTCTGACAACACAAGATATCCTTTTACAACTTCATCCCTTGCCACTGACACACATTAATCTGTCCTCCACTTCTAAAGTTTTGTCACTTCAAATGTATAATAAGTGGAATCACACAGCTTTCAATCTTTTGGAATTGGCTTTTTTTTCCACTCAGCTTACATTTCCTAGGGATTCATCCAAGCTCTGTAAATTAATAAATTGTTTATTTATTGTTGAATAGTGTACATTTATGATGTGGACATACCATAGTTTATTTAGCCATTCAACCATTGAAGAAATTCTGGGCTGTTTCCAGTTTGGGGCTATGACAAATAAGCTGCTATGAATATTCATACACGGTTTTTGTGTGACTGTAGTTTTCATTTTGCCTAAGAGTACCATCACTGGAAAGTATGGTAATTACACGTTTAGTTTTCTAAAAAACTGCCAAATTGTTTGTAACTGAATTTCTATTTTAAATGCCTACAGTGGTTTCTGTGTCCCACTCAAAACCTGACATGGCACTACAGACAAAACACAAATTCCAAACTAAGGGCTCTTAACCAAGATTGAAGGACCAATAAATGGTTACTTGTATGTATAAATATAACTAATAGAGACATTATAGCAAGTAAAATATACAGTGGAGAACTAGAGACTGCTCTCCACTTCAGAATTTTATCATCGTGTTTCTCATGTCAAAAGGTGAAATTTAATTCC